CTTGGCCTTGGGGCGGTCCAGAGAAAACACTGCCCCCAGAAAACACTGCCCCCAGAAAACACTGCCCCCAGAAAACACTGCCCCCAGAAAACACTGCCCCCAGAAAACACTGCCTCCAGAAAACACTACCTCCACTGCCGCTGACTGCTGCTGCTGCCCCCAGCGCCTTGATTTGAGACTGCTCATACGTTCACTATACCTGTAAATCAGCGGGCTGCAGGGAGCCATCCCCATCCCCCACAGGCAGCAGCTTGGCCTTAGGACGATCAAGGGAAAACACCGCCTCCACTGCTGCTGCTGCTCCCAGTGCCTTGCGCAACCGCTGCCGCACCTGCAGTGGGTGGGATGGATGGTGATGAACTGATGTATGCTTGAATATGTATGTGTGCATATACATATATATAAATACATATACATGTATATGTATGCTTGAATATGTATGTATGCTTGACTGTGTACGTGTGCCTATACACGTATACATACATATATTTATGTAAATGTATATACACATGTATGTAAATATACAAATATACAAAAATCTATGCGCGCACATGCAAACATATTGTAGTACACCTGGTGGGTGGATGAATGTGTCGACAGCACCGCACGGGAGAGAGCGGGTCGAGGGACGACGGCTCGCTGATGGCACAGCAAGCACAGAGGTTCATCGACACACTCAGTTACACACAGAGAGAAACAAATAGAAGCATTTTTGCCAGAATTCGCTATGAAGGGGTGGGTGGGTGGGTGGAGAAGTGGTTGCCTCACCGCGCGTGAGAGAGGGTCGATAGACGACTCGCTGATGTCAGCAATCCGGATGCGAGTGGGGTCGGCCCGAGCGCCTGCCCCCATGGCACTGACGACAGGCAGACCGCGACGCACGCAGGCTGAGAGCAGAGCCACCTGTGATGTGAGGAGGGCGAGAAAAGAAGTAGTGTGTTAGGGGCGTTGATGCCTTGGGGTTGCTATTGCTCAAAATCCGCTCAAAGTTCTCGTGAGGCAGCTGCGTGCAGCTTTGCTTTTGCTTTACTCCGTCCGTTGGTTGTCCCATGATTTCGTGTGCATCGCCAAACACGCATGCATGTAGCAGCTGCGGAACCATTTCTACTTTGTTTGCTTCTATCGGATTCGATCTGATCTGATTTGATTTGGTTTGATTTGATTTGATTTGATTTGATTCGAACCTTTGTGTCGATATTGTCGATGCAGTCAACAACGTAGTCGGGCTGCCCGGACAAAACTTTCTCCTCGTTCTCCTCCGTGTACATCGCTGTCATCCCCTCCACTTGCGCTTCGGGCAGGATGCGAAGAAAATGCTCCCTCATGCACTGCGCCTTGGAGATCCCCACATCTGCCCGTGTGGCAACAGCATGGCGATTGAGGGAGGAGAGCGACACCTGTTCAATGAGGAGGCAAAGCAGGAGAAGGGGGAGAAGAAAGAGGGGAAATATTTCGTGCATTGCGCCTTGGAGATTCCAACATCTGCCCGCGTGGCAACAGCATGGCGATTGAGCGATGACAGCGACACCTGTGGGATAACAGTTGGGGGAAAAAGGGGGTGAGGCAGAGGGGAGGAGGAAACGCTCTCTCATTCACTGCGCCTTGGAAATAACCACGTCTGCCCGCATGGCAACAGCATGGCAACAGCATGGCAACAGCAAGGCGACAGCATGGCGATTAAGCGAGGATAGTGACACCTGTTGAGTAAAGAAAGTTGGGGAGGGTGGGGGGAGAAGAGGGGGGAAGAGGAGGAGAGGGGGGACATGCTCTCTCATTCACTGAGCTAGCGTGGCAGCAACAGGCTGTCAATTCGAGACATTGTGAGTCAACCCAAGCAGCAGAGTCAACAGGGTCAATGGAGATCAACAGTACCTGGTCAAAGTCGACGAGTCTCAGCCATCCAACGCCACATCTTAGCAGGGCAGTAGCAGCAGCATGTCTGCTCATTCCCCCCAGCCCCATCATCATGACCACAAACGCCACTCGGTCAATCACAGTCAACTCGAGTCAACAGAGTCAACAGGGTCAATGGAGGGACCCAGTACCTGGTCAAAGTCAACGAGTCTCAGTAGGCCAACCCCGCATCTCAGCAGCACGGTAGCAGCATGGCTCCCCACCTCCCCCAGCCCCACCACCACCACAAACACCGTCCAGTCAATCCCGGTCAACCAGAGTCAACCCAAGTCAACAGGGTCAACAGTACCTGGTCAAAGTCGACGAGTCTCAGCCGACCAACACCGCATCTTAGCAGCGCAGCAGCAGCATGGCTGCCTACTCCCCCCAGCCCCACCACCACCACAAACGCTACCCAGTCCATCCCAGTCAACCAGAGTCAACCCAAGTCAACCAAAGCCAACGCACCTGGTCAAAGTCGACGAGTCTCAGCCGGCCAACCCCGCATCTCAGCAGAGCAGCAGCAGCATGGCTGCCTACTCCCCCCAGCCCCACCACCACCACAAACGCCCGGTGCACTGCCAGCTGGCCGGGCAGACCAAACATTTGAATGTTCCTGCCCGGCAGCAGTGAGAGGAAGGGGAAAGGTGAAGGACGGTCAGTGAGGACGGTAAGTGGGGGAAGAAGGGGGAAAGGAAGGGAGGGAGGCGGGGGAGGGGGAAGTTGGAGGGGGAAGAGACTAGCGGAAAGAGAGTATGGTTGAGGGGAGAGAGGGCAGTGATGTAAAACACAGGAAGTTATTTTAAGCAAGAGAAGTGGAATAGCTTGAGAATTGAGCTTAGATGGTGAACAGAGAGAGCTCAGAAACAGAAATAAGCATTCTTATAACGAAGGGGTTTAAAACGCGTGCCTGGTGAATTGCTCCACGATGATGTCATCATCAGCCGCTGCCAGGCTGGCAAGATCCTGGCCATCCAATCCGCCACTGCCACGTGTCTCCCCCCCACCAGAAGGTTCCTGACTGCTAGTAGCACCGTGCTGCGACTCAGGAGGACGAGACATTCCTGTGGCAGCAGGAACTGAGACTGTGTCAGGTGTTTCTTCAGGTGGTTTCAGGTGCTGCTCGTGATGCTGCTTCTCCTGCTCCTCGCCTTCTGCACCTAAAGACACCAGACCCGCATGGCCGTCGTTACACCTGGCAAGGGGAAAGAAAGGCGGGAGGAAAAGAAATTTTGGGTAGGGGAAAAAGAACGGGAGAACCCGAAATCCTTTCCCATTTCTCTGAAATGCGGAAGGACGACGTGCAGGACTGAGGTGACATTTGAGTCGATTCGTCTCACGAATGGGAGTCATTCATGTCATACCACAATCCGCAGAACTCACGCGGTGAGAAACGCGACTGATAGGATCGACGGATGGGATGCGACAATGAACCACCAGGCACAACAAATCGCACTGAGTTGCAATTGGCTTTAAAGATTTAGGAACAGCAAACCAGCGAGACTGACATAACAAGTCGACTGGAACAAACGTTTGATGTCCCAAAGCCGCTACTAACGTGATTTCAGGCGGCTCGTCGGCAGAGTAGACGGAATAGAGCTTCCAAGCGCAAAGCGCGGCGCACGAGCCGGCAGCAGCTCCCAGGGCGAAGGTCGCCCACGGCGACCTAAAAATCCTCATGGCGAATAGCGAATTTTATACAAACGAGGATAACCCAGATGAGGAGGACCCAGCCACATGCCGGAATGGACAGGGTCGCAGGAGGCGACTACATGAATGACGGCGATGTTTGCTCAAAACAAAACAACATGATGGGCCACACGACCGAGCAGCGAACGAAAAAAAAGCAGCAGCGTACGAAAAAAAAGCAGCAGCGTACGAAAAAAAAGCAGCAGCGTACGAAAAAAAAGCAGCAGCGTACGAAAAAAAAGCAGCAGCGTACGAAAAAAAAGCAGCAGCGTACGAAAAAAAAGCAGCAGCGTACGAAAAAAAAGCAGCAGCGTACGAAAAAAAAGCAGCAGCGTACGAAAAAAAAGCAGCAGCGTACGAAAAAAAAGCAGCAGCGTACGAAAAAAAAGCAGCAGCGTATTACGCACGCGCCTCAACGGGAGTCGAATGGATTCTGACTGAAATATATATCGATACAGCGGTTTCTCGTGCAAAAGGGAAACCACCAAACACAGTGTGCATACGAGTGTGGAGGTGAGGGGTATCGATCCCCTTACCTATCGCATGCGAAGCGATCGCTCTACCATGTGAGCTACACCCCCATGTCGAAGCACTACCTAAAAACACTTTTATAGCAATTAAAAAATGCGCGTCTCGCTTGTCAACTTCTAAGCTGCCGTGACATGCACGTCCCACTTCACTGAGCTTTCAAGACTGGCCCAAAAATATCCCCTGGTGATCACCTTGAGATTGGGAGAACACAATGCCTGGTCTGTGCTGGCAGCTGACGAGACGGGTCCCCCATTACGTTCCTGCTTGTTGCGATCGCTTCGACCTTGGGAACTTCGCAAAGCCTGTTGAGGCACGCTGTCTCGCACCAGCCGAAGCTGGAATCAGGGTGGATGGTTTGGGTGACTGGTTCTAGTGCGAGATCGTGTTTAGTGAAAGTGATTCGACGTCAAGGGATGACAATTCACGGTCTTTAACGGTAATTAGCGGTTGAATCCACTACTAGTAAACGAAAAGCTAGCAGATTGGGAAGGGGTGCAGCAGGTGGGGACGACTGATCCGATTGATTGCAAGTGGGGATCGACGAATTTCCAAAGGAATTCGCTCGTCCAACCATAAGAGTCAGGTCCTCCAAGTTTTGAGGTATTCCGAAACTTGTGAAGGAACCTGATTGGCCCAGGTTCTTGCCGAGCGCGAAAGCAGCGGACGGCCGACAGAGAGTGAGAGCTGCGGGATAACGAGAGCTGACGGGAAACTAAGGTTGACGGAGACAGAGCAGGCGTCGCAAGATGGCGGATGGCGGACCGGTCGGATCAACGGCTGGCGATTGCGGCTTCTGGTGCCTGGTTACCAGTCGCCGGTTCGCGGAGGCTGTTTCGTCGCTGGCGAAGCCGAGAGACGTGGTGCTGCGGCCCAAGGAGGAGCAGGATATGGTGGGGTTCGGATGGCGGGAGATTCTGGGGTTGAAGGATAAGTCTCAGGGGAACGCTGAGCTTGCTGCTGAGTCGCATCAGGTAAGCCGATGCGCGTATGATTCTTATGGTGCTGCGAACCAAGGATGAGCGGGAGTGGGCGGGATGTAAGGCTCTTAGCCCAATGTACTGACTTCCTTCCTGCCTCCTGCCTTGCTTCTTGTCCCATTCTCAGGTGTACTACGTTACGAATCGGGTGTGCGAGAGGGAGGACGAGAAGATGGGCAAGGTGTACGGCAAGCACATGGACAGTGGCCTGCACGTTGGCGTGGTGGATGTGAGTGAGTGATGGACTGTTCTGGTGCTTTGTTAGTAGGGAACTGTTCTGACTCCCTGTGAGATGGGGTGAGGATGAGAAGATGGGCAAGGTGTACGGCAAGCACATGAACAGTGGCCTGCACGTTGGCGTGGTGGATGTGAGTGAGTGATGGACTGTTCTGGTGCTTTGTTAGTAGGGGACTGTTCTGACTCCCTGTGAGATGGGGTGAGGATGAGAAGATGGGCAAGGTGTACGGCAAGCACATGGACAGTGGCCTGCACGTTGGCGTGGTGGATGTGAGTTATACAATCAATGCTGGCTTCCCTTGAAAGGGAAAGGGGATGGGAGGATGAAACGCAAGGTGTACGGCAAACACATGGACAGTGGCTTGCAAAGGGCGTGGTGGATGTGAGTGGTGCTGCTGTGGTTTACAGAGAGAGGATGAGAAGATGGGCAAGGTGTATGGCAGACACGTGGACAGTGGCCTGCACGTGGGCGTGGTGGATGTGGCCTGCAAGACATCTTGGTGTTTCCACAGTCAAATGTGGGCAGCATGTTGTTGTGGTGGACGTGAACGTTACATATTTCTGGCTTCCTTCGAAACAGGGGAGGGGGGGGATGGGAAGATGGGCAAGGTGTATGGCAAGCTCGTGGACAGTGGCATGGCATGGCATGCATGTGGGCGTGGTGGGTGGGTAGGAGTGATTGTATGGTAGGATGTTCCGGCGCCCCCATCGACAGCATGGGAGTGTATTGCTTGGATTAGGAACAAACTTATCCTCGTTTTGTTTGTAATTGCAGGTGGACTGTCCTAATGGCAAGCCTCAAGTGAAGCCAGAAGGGCAGCTTGTAACGAGTATGGACTCGGAGGCATTCAAGCAGCGGCTGAGAGAGCATGTGGCCCGCGATGAGAACAAGGCAGTGCTTGTTTACGTGCATGGGTATGTATGCGGGGAGAGAGGAGGGGGGGGGGGATGAAAATGATATGTGCATGGGTATGTGGATGGGTATCTATGAAGGGGGGGCGGGGGGATGAGCATGATATGTGCATGGGTATATGTATGGGTAAGTTTGTGCGTGGGTATGTATGTGCATGGGTATGTATGTGCATGGGTATGTATGTGCATGGGTATGTATGGGCATGGGTATGTAAGTGTATCGGTATGTTTGTGCATGGGTATGTAAGTGTATGGGTATTTGTGTGCATGGGTTTGTGCATGGGTATGTGCGTGGGTATAGTGCGTGGGTATGTCAATTGCCTTAACACTCATCTCTTGTTGTATTGTATCAAAGTCGTCTGCATGTCCATGTGCGGATCCTACACTAGTTTCCTCCTTTTCTGCCTTACCCATTCCTCTCTGCACTTTCCGTGTTGTGTTGTGACCGTTTTGTTGTGTTCCCCCCCCCTGCAGCTGCTTCACTGATTTCAGCCGGGGCATGGGCTACGGAGCATTCATGCAGGTACGAATTTGAGCCCTTCTCGCCTTCAACCCGCCCCGCCCACACTTAGCGAGTGTGGCCCATTGTGTGACCCCACTATGATTATGAAACATGCTCCTCAATTATCCCATCATCATGGATCACTCTCACCTTGTCTGTCGCCCCACCCACCTTGGGCCACGATCACGCACACAGCTGGCCCACGGTGGGGCAACCAACAAGCTGAGAGAGTGATTGCCCTGTGATTCAACGACTTCAACCCTCCATGGGCCGTTCCCGCTTCTCTTGCATTTCCCATCTCCCTCTCAGCGAGGCCTGGACTTCAATGGCCCCATGGTGATGTACAGACTGCAATGTGCTGGGCCACGGTGGGGCGAGTGCTGGGCTGGCCATTGGTGTGTATACTTGTATCTGTGTCCCAATCCCCTCGCCCCGTTGCTCCCTCTCCCTCCCCTCCCAGCGTGGTCTCGACTTCAATGGACCCATGGTGGTGTACAGCTGGGCCATGGTGGTGTACAGCTGGGCCATGGTGGTGTACAGCTGGGCCATGGTGGTGTACAGCTGGGCCATGGTGGTGTACAGCCTGCAGTATACCCGCACCTGTATTAGGCTGATCCTTCCTTCCCCAACCCTCCTGCCCCCCTCTCTCTCCCCCTCCCAGCGTGGTCTCGACTTCAACGGGCCCATGGTGGTGTACAGCTGGCCGACGGTGGGGCGGCCGTCCGTGTCGGTGGGGTTGGGGGTGATCAGCCTGTACCGCCAGGACGAGATCACATGCATGCAGGCCGCTCCTGACCTCAGGGTGAGTACATTCCGTGTCTTGGATGTTGCACATGCACGTGTGCGAATGTTATATTAGGGTCTGCTTGTCTGTGTCGGTGGGGTTGGGGGTGATCAGCCTGTACCGCCAGGACGAGATCACATGCATGCAGGCCGCTCCTGACCTCAGGGTGAGTGGGCTTTGTTTTGTAGTCACGTTCAAGCCATGTAGGTTGTTAGGGTTTTTCAGGTGTCTCAAGCCATGGCCATCTGTGTGTGATTAGTCGACTTTTGAGTTGACTCAAAACTCGATTTTTCAGGTGTCTCAAGCCATGGCCATCTGCGTTGGTGGGGCTGGCTGGGGGGGGTTGAAAGGGTGCGTCCTGCCTGCACCCTTTTCCCTCCCATTTCCCCCCCTTCCCACACGACCTGCATGCTCTCACACATTGAAATGCTCTCAGTCGAGCTGAGAGCGAAAGCCGTGCACGTGATGCCATACAGCATGGGCGTGCATGTGATGCCATACAGCATGGGCGTGCATGTGATGCCATACAGCATGGGCGTGCATGTGATGCCATACAGCATGGGCGTGCATGTGATGCCATACAGCATGGGCGTGCACGTGATGCCATACAGCATGGGCGTGCATGTGATGCCATACAGCATGGGCGTGCATGTGATGCCATACAGCATGGGCGTGCATGTGATGCCATACAGCATGGGCGTGCATGTGATGCCATACAGCATGGGCGTGCATGTGATGCCATACAGCATGGGCGTGCATGTGATGCCATACAGCATGGGCGTGCATGTGATGCCATACAGCATGGGCGTGCATGTGATGCCATACAGCATGGGCGTGCATGTGATGCCATACAGCATGGGCGTGCATGTGATGCCATACAGCATGGGCGTGCATGTGATGCCATACAGCATGGGCGTGCATGTGATGCCATACAGCATGGGCGTGCATGTGATGCCATACAGCATGGGCGTGCATGTGATGCCATACAGCATGGGCGTGCATGTGATGCCATACAGCATGGGCGTGCATGTGATGCCATACAGCATGGGCGTGCATGTGATGCCATACAGCATGGGCGTGCATGTGATGCCATACAGCATGGGCGTGCATGTGATGCCATACAGCATGGGCGTGCATGTGATGCCATACAGCATGGGCGTGCATGTGATGCCATACAGCATGGGCGTGCATGTGATGCCATACAGCATGGGCGTGCATGTGATGCCATACAGCATGGGCGTGCATGTGATGCCATACAGCATGGGCGTGCATGTGATGCCATACAGCATGGGCGTGCATGTGATGCCATACAGCATGGGCGTGCATGTGATGCCATACAGCATGGGCGTGCATGTGATGCCATACAGCATGGGCGTGCATGTGATGCCATACAGCATGGGCGTGCATGTGATGCCATACAGCATGGGCGTGCATGTGATGCCATACAGCATGGGCGTGCATGTGATGCCATACAGCATGGGCGTGCATGTGATGCCATACAGCATGGGCGTGCGCGCACACACTCATGCCTGTAAGCACTCTCACCCCACATCCCTTCCCTACCATCCTCTGCCTCGCAAACCCACAGGATGTCCTCCAGATGCTGTCTAGAGAACTAGGAGCAAAGGCCGTGCATGTGATAGCGTACAGCATGGGCGCGCGCATGATCCCCAACCAACCCCCCCTCATCCTTCGCTTCCCTGCCCACAGGACTCATTCATACCCCTTCCCCCTTCCTCGCTGCCCACAGGATTTGCTGCAGATGCTGTCTAGAGAAGTGGGAGCTAAAGCGGTGCACGTGATGGCATACAGCATGGGCGCGCGCACACTATTAGAGGCCCTCCGCCTGTCGTCAGTCTCCCCGTCGCACCTGGACCCCTTCCACGCCTCCACCGGCGTAACCTCCCACATCTACTTCATGGCTCCTGACGTCGCTGCTCACTCTTTTTCTTCTGTCATACGGAAATTCAAGTTCCCGGGGATTGCGTGGGACAGGGAGGCGGAGGAAAAAGAGAGGTCTGCTGGGGGTGCGTTGGAAAGAGGGGCAGAGGAGGGGGAAACGGGCCGTGGGGCTTGGGATGTCAGGCACCCGTTGACCTCTCACCAGCAAGCCCAGCACGTGCAGGCAGCGCCTGTGGTGTTGCCATTGCCATCCTCTCCTTCCTCTCCTTCCTCTCCTTCCTCTCCTTCCTCGCCTCTCTCCCCCTCATCATCCCACACTTCATATTCCCCCTCTTCCCCAACTTCCTCCACACCTTCCTTAGCAACTCCTTCCCCCGCTCCTTCCTCCGCAGCATCCTCTGCCCCTGCCTCCTCACCTTCCTCCTCCACGTATGACTTAAATGCACGCAGTCACGATTCCATGATAGAGAGGATTGCAGACGTGTGGAACGTGGCTGGGGAATGCAACTCAGGTTGGGTTACGCTACGGCAGGCTTGGCAGGAGGTTCGGGAAAAGGGGCTGATGGAGGTTTGGAGCGAGATATTCCACCCGCCAGGCCTTGCCAAACCTGGTGGCTATGGGTCTGCCAAGGCTGTGCCAGGCCTTGGAGCCTCCGAACCAGAGAGTTTCGGAGGTGCATCCGAGCCTGTTTTCCAAACCAGAGAAGCAGGAGGTAACGAGGCTGAGCATAGGTTGGGAAGAAGCAGGACTGGCAGTGCTTCTAACTCATCTGAAGAGACAAGACAACATCCCCTCAAAGGTTCAAGCGTGCCTGAAGCAGCAGCTCATGAATCAGCAGCGAGAACAGGAGGAGCATGTGTCGATAGCTCATTTGTTTCTACTGAAGGAGAGTGTGAGACGGGGAGGTCTATGCCTGATGGTTCCCGCGGGCAAGAGAATCTTGCGTCCAGACGTGTAGATTCTGTGTCTCGCAGTGTAGATTCTCCGCACAGCAGTGAAGAATCTAGGTTAAGAGAAGGTGTAGGTGTAGGTAGAGCTGCGGTTCCGTTCCCAGGTGCAGAAAGGCCAACAGAATCAGCGGTCAGGCCACTGCCATCAGTAGCATCAGCAAGAGGCGGAGCAAGAGGAGCAAGCGAAGCACCAGGAGCAGCAGTTGCAGCAGCAGAAACCAGTGGGTCTAGAGGGACAGGGACAGGAGAGCGCAGCAGCACACAGCCAGCAGTGCGGGAGAACGCGCACATACATCTGTTCACGGCTCGCAACGACATTGCTCTGCTGCTCTCCGAATTCATGGACGCCGGTATTCCCAAGGTACGCCGCCAAGCAAGAAGCACTGTGCTCACGAGGTATGGGCGTGCAAAACACGCTCATGTTCTTTCATCCTTTTCTTTTTCCTCTAGAAATGTCAAAACGCTATGCATACTCGAAGCTCTTGGTCGATTCGAAGCTGATTCACGCTATGCCGTGTTGGAGCCTTTTCAAACCTGAGCATCGTGGCAACGGGCGCCATTATTCCCCATTCTGCAGGTGCGTGCAGGCTGGGGCTCAGACGATTTCCTTGTGTGCTGCGGGCACAGGGCCTTGAACACGGTACACGTGAGCAACCTGAATAGCGGGCTGCTCAGCACGGGGCACTCCTACCTCTTCCACCATCGCTTTCCCTCCTTCCCTGCTTCCCTCCTTCTCTGCTTCCTTCCTTCCCTCCTTCCCTCCTCCCAATTGCCCCCCCTCAGGTCCGTGCAGGGCGGGGCTCAGACGATTTCCTCCTGTGCTGCGGACATAAGGCGTTCGATACAGTTGATGTGAGCAGCCTGAACAGCCGGCTGCTCAGCACGGGCCACTTATACCTCTTCCACCATCTCTTGCCCTCCTTCCCTCCTTCACCCGTCTTTCCTGTTTCCCCAACCCTTGCAGGTGCGTGCAGGTCGAGGTTCCGATGACTTCCTCCTGTGCTGCGGGCACAAAGCCTTTGATACAGTTGATGTGAGCAGCCTGAACAGCGGGCTGCTGAGCACGGGCCACTTCTACCTCTTCCACCACATCGTGCGCCGTGACATGCGCCGGCAGATGCTGGGACTCGCAGGGGGCGGGGCCGGGGGAGGAGCGGCAGGGGGAAGCGGAGGGGCTGGGGCAGCGGCAGTAGAAGATGGAGCAGGAGGAGCGGGAGGGGGAGGGGAAAGGGGGGCGGGAGCGGGAGGTGGGGTGGGGGAGGAGGCGTGGTGGAGGGAGCATGCGGAGTGGAATCGGCACAAGTACGTGCGCCTCACTGCTACCCGGCCACCTATTGCTGCTGGAAAACCGTCCAGCGGGCCTTCAGAACCTTCTGCTGCAGCTGTGAGCTCGTCATCCCCTGCAGCAGCACCTGCTGTACAATCTGCAGTACCATCCCCACGGCACCCACCACAATCAGCATCATCAGCAGCACCACCACTTGCCTCGCCTCTTGAGCCGTGCTCAGCCTCGTATACGCCACGTTCGTTCTTCTTCCCTTGGGCTCGAGCTGAACCCACCAGGCACAGCAGCAGCGGCGGAGGCAGCAGCACTCTCGATTTGACACCCACCAGGAGCAGCGGTCAGGCGGCTGCTAGCCACAACACTCTGGTATGCATGTCCGTCTATAGAGTTGACTCACTACTAATTATATTGTTTTGGTCTGAGGGTACATACGACACCTACTGGCCTAGGAAAGAGCGAACACAAAGTGTCCTCCTGGTGTTCGCTCTTTCATGTGTGACTGTCTCCCTGTTTCATGCCCCCCTTCCGCCCCTTCCCCCGCTTCCGCCCCTTCCCCCCCTTCCCCCTTGCATACAACACAACCCCCTTGCAGATTGACTCGTCGCCACTTACATGGGCGTGTCCGTAAGCCGCGTACCTTTGAGTCGACTCAAACGCCTCCTCCTTGTTACCATGTGTGACTGTCTCCCTGTTTCATGCCCCCCTTCCGCCCCTTCCCCCTGCACACAACACAACCCCCTTGCAGATTGACTCGTCGCCACTTACATGGGCGTGTCCGTAAGCCGAGTACCTTTGAGTCGACTCAAACGCCTCCTCCTTGTTACCATGTGTGACTGTCTCCCTGTTTCATGCCCCCCTTCCGCCCTTTCCCCCTGCACACAACACAACCCCCTTGCAGATTGACTCGTCACCACTTACATGGGCGTGTCCGTAAGCCGAGTACCATATGCATGGATGCTGGGGAGGGAGGGGAGGAGGAGCTTTTCACAAGTTCTTTGGAAGATTGCCAGTGAGGCAATGTGTTTCCAAGCCGAGTAAACACGTTGAGAGGCCTAGTAAAGTGCAATCATACTGTAGTCATTTAGCAGATTAGTCATTCAGTTATATTTCTGTTTCTTGTGGTTTAAACGAGCCCACCCATGCATCACTTGTTTGTTACACCATTCTTGTACCAAAATACAAATGAGAGTGTACACAGAATAGCTCAAGCAGCCTGTGCAAAATATTCATCGTGGTATACTGTACATTGTAACGTACCCTTGGGGAAAATATAATGTACAGTGCTGCGCCCCTGAATCTAGCCACAGCTTAAAAGACCAAAGAAAGAAAAAAATCTGTCATTCTGTCCATCCAAACGGTTCTGTGCGATGCAGATGTCTCAGCACCAGGTTGGAACAGTGCTGCACCTGAAACCTGCACGATCATGTGCAACCACGTTCACGATCATGTTATTGAGTCGACTCAAAAGCAGATGCCAAGCACCAGGTTGGCACCAGGTTGGCACCAGGTTGGAACAGTGCTGCACCTGAAACCTGCACGATCATATGCAACCACGTTCACGATCATGTAGGCCCTTAGAACCCTTAGAAGGAAGCATGGTGGAGTGGAACGAGGGAGGAGTGCGGGGCTGGCGAGCGGCAGAGAGGACACTCGGGCTTCTCATTGCACCACTCTGCAATGCACCCCCTGGCAGCAGCGGGAAGGTAGATGGAATGGAGGGAGAAAATAGAGAAGGCACGTCATGAGACGGGGGTGAGGAAAGGGAGAGCGGCAGAGAGGACACTCGGGCTTCTCATTGCACCACTCTGCTATGCACCCCCTGGGAGGAGCGGAGAGGCAGATGGAATGGAGGGAGAAAAGAGAGAGAAATTAGGTGGCGGTGGCATGGAACAAGGCACGTCGTGAGACGGGGGTGAGGAAAGGCAGAGCGGCAAAGAGGACACTCGTGCTTCTCGTTGCACCACTCTGCTATGCACCCCCTGGGAGGAGAGGGAAGGAAGTTAAGGAGGAGGAGAGAGAGGGAGAAGGAGAGGGAGGACGAAGAAGAGACGATGATGAGCATTCGTTGTACTAGCAGAAGAGAGGGATGGCCATTAGGGCAGCAAGCCGGGTGGGTGGGGAGTAGAGCAACAGGCATACAAGCAGAAGATGTGGCCGCGAGGACAGCAGGTGGGGTGCGGTGGTGGAGGGAAGAGTGGTAAACAAGATGGGAAGGTGGAAGAAACGGAATAGAGCAACAGGCATACCAGCAGAAGATGTGACCGCATGGGCAGCAGGTGGGGTGGGAGCGAGACGCAAGGCACAGGGAGCACCGTCCGCTCGCCTCACTCCCTGCCTCCCCCTCCACTTCACCCTCTTGAAACTGTTGAGACCCCTCCGTCTCCTCGCCCCACCCCTTGCTGGACTCTGGTGGAGCATCAGCGGCTGCCAGTGGGGCTGACGATGGGTTTTGTATGGGGGGATGGGATGGGATGGGATGGGATGGGATAGGATGGGGCAAGGCACAGGGAGCACCGACCACTAGCCTCGCTCTCCTCCTCCCCCTCCACTTCACCCCCTTGAGCTTCTTGAGACGCCTCCGTCTCCTCGCCCCACCCGTTGCTGGACTCAGGTGGAGCATCGGCGGCTGCCAGTGGGGCTGACGATGGGTGGGGAAGAAGAAGAGAAGACGAGAAGAGTTGGGCATACCAGGAGATGTGACTGCAGGGGCAGCAGGTGGGGCGGTATTGAGACGTCTCAAAATCAATCTTTTATCACGTGGAAGAAGAAGAGAAGACGAGAAGGGTTGGGCATACCAGGAGGAGATGTGACCGCAGGGGCAGCAGGTGGGGTGGTAGCGGGAAGAGAGAGAGAAAAGATATGAGGAAGAAGGGGAGTAAGACGAGGAGGAGATGTCGAGCATACCAGGAGGAGATGAGAGCAGGTGGGGTGGGAGCAGGTGGGGTGGGAGCGAGCAGCAAGGCACAGGGAGCATTTTTGAGGCGCCTCAAAAATCGGCACAGGGAGCATGCCTCACTTCATGCCTCACATCATGCCTCACTTCATGCCTCACTTCATGCCTCACTTCATGCCTCACTTCATGCCTCACATCATGCCTCAATTCATGCCTCGAGTCATGTCATGCCTCACCTGTGGGTGGTGGCGGTATGGTATGCGCCAGGGGTCTGTGTTGCAGCAGAGAGCGGCGCAGCCAATCAGAGGAGAGAATCGCGAGCTGAATGAAGAGGAAGAATGCGAGCATGTGATATCTGCCGTGGGTGGGAGGGGGAGGAGGATGGGGGAGAGAGAGGGCACGAGATGGGTGGGAAGGGGAGATGCATGGCATGGGGACATGGGATAATGGGAAGGACATGGGGCAGCAGGAGAGGATGCCGAGGGGGATGACTTCTGAAGCGTCTAAAAAGGATGCTGAGGGGGATGACTTTCGAGACGTCTCAAAAGGATGCTGAGGGGGATGAAGAGGAACAAGGCGAGCATGTGGTACCTGCCATGGCATGGGTGAGAGCGGTGGCATGGGTGTGATGAAGGAGCTGAGGGCACGGGTGGAATGGAATGGGAGGGGAATGGGTGGCTAGCACCGTGGCACGCGAACCTGCCAACCTGACTTTTGAGTCAACTCAGAAGTCAGAATGAGTGGCTAGCACCGTGGCACATGAACCTGCCAACCACACGAACCTGCCAACCACACAAACCTGCCAGCCACACGAACCTGGGGGAGTAAGCAGGAGGTTGGGCAGTGTAAATGTATCGCACGCCTGTCACCTGCTTGGCTACATGCAGGTACGACCCGTGCCAGTAGAAGAGCAGCAGATGCGCCCTCCCCAGCAGCATCAACACATCCCCCCCTCGCACTGCCACCCCCGCCCACACCACCAGCGCCCTCCTCCCCATCTCCCACACTCTCTCCCTCACTCGCTCCCTCACACAGCCCACCCAGTGCCATTCTGTCGCCACAGCTGCCACCCATCCCAACCCCCTTCCACCGCTCACACGTGCTGCTTCCACGCCTCCTCCCTCTACTGAAACCCCCTCTATTGCGCCCTCCTCTCTCGCCCTAAGGCTGGATGTGTGGCTGTGAGGTGCCTCCTCCTCCGCCCCTGCAAGTGTTGTTCCATTCCCTACTCCTCCTCTCCCCCCTCCGCCTGTTGTCCCCCCTGTGCCCCCCTCGCCTACTCCCCCCGCCCCTACTCCCCCCGCCCCTACTCCCCCCGCCCCTACTCCCCCCGCCCCTACTCCCCCCGCCCCTACTCCCCCCTCCCCTGCTCCCCCTTCCCCTGCTGCTGCGAGCGCCCTTCCCCGGGCAGCAGCGCGGGCGCTGATGTGAGCTGCTACAGCCGGGAGCAGCGCATGCAGCAGCACAAGAGAGAGGCGACGCGCTGGGGCAGGTGGCAAGTTGTAAGCACCTGACACCTGGGAGGGGAGGGGAAGGAAGGGGGATGGACGTGGGAACGGGGTAACATTGCAGGTGCTGATGTGACGGGGGGAAGGTTGTAGCGACCTGACACCTGGAGTGGGGGATGGGTGTGGAAAAAGGGGGGATGGGTGTGGAAAAAGGGGGATGGGTGTGGGAAAAGGGGAAGGGAATGGGTGTGGAAAAGGGGGGATGGGTGTGGAAAAAGGGGGATGGGTGTGGAAAAAGGGGAAGGGAATGGGTGTGGAAAAGGGGGGATGGGTGTGGAAAAAGGGGGATGGGTGTGGAAAAAGGGGAAGGGAATGGGTGTGGAAAAGGGGGGATGGGTGTGGAAAAAGGGGGATGGGTGTGGAAAAAGGGGAAGGGAATGGGTGTGGAAGGGGGGATGGGTGTGGAAAAGGGCAGATGGGTGGCGATGTGAGCTGCTACAGCCACGATAGATGGGAAGGGCCATGGTTGTAGCTGCTACAGCCACGACAGATGGGAAGGGCCATGGTTGTAGCTGCTACAGCCACGACAGATGGGAAGGGCCATGGTTGTAGCTGCTACAGCCACGACAGATGGGAAGGGCCATGGTTGTAGCTGCTACAGCCACGACAGATGGGAAGGGCCATGGTTGTAGCTGCCTGCCTGATACCCGAGAAGGGCGGGGGATGGCGGAGAGGGGGGGATGGCGGAGAGGGGGGGATGGCGGAGAGGGGGCAAACGGGCGCTGGTGTGAGCTGGCACAGCCGGGGGAGCAGGGAGTGCAGCAGCACGAGAAAAAGGCGACGCACAAGGGTGGGGCGCAGGTTGTAGCGGCCTGGTACCTGGGAAGGGCGGGAAAAAGGGAAGGAAGAATGGAGATAGGGAGGGGATAGATGTGACGTGAGCTGCTACAGCCGGAAGGAGGGAGTGCAGAGGCACGAGGGAGAGGCGGCGAGCGGTGGGTGAGTGGAGATTGGAGATAGAGATGGGGCAGATGTGATGTGAGCTGCCACTGCGGAGTGAAGCAAGGTTGTCTCAACAAGACCGGCATGAGAGGGGAGGGGGTGCTGGGAGGAGAGGAGGAGGGAGGAACAGCAGCGGCATGAGAAGCATCACCTGCAGGATATCGCAGTACTCTTCGCCTAGAGTCCACGTTTGAGGCGCCTCAACAGAGAGACATCACCTCACCTGCACTAATATGAGGTGACTTTTGAGTCGACTCAGAAGCATCACCTGCACTAATATGAGGTGACTTTTGAGTCGACTCAGAAGCATCACCTGCACTAATATGAGGTGACTTTTGAGTCGACTCAGAAGCATCACCTGCACTATGTCGCAGTACTCCCTTCCCCTAGAGTCCACGTTTGAGGCGCCTCAACAGAGAGACATCACCTCACCTGCACTATGTCGCAGTACTCCTCCCCTAGAGTCCTGCTGCCGGCGCCGGTGGTCACGAGATAGTAGAGACACCGCGCCGCCACGCGGATCGGACCGCCCCATTGGCCCGCGACGCGGTGGCCGAGCTGCGAGGCAATGGCGTCGTGACACATGTCGCCCAGCGACGCCGCGTACAGCTCGTCCTTCTCCGCGGCGCGCATCACCTCCGGCTGCGCCGCTGGCGGAAACTGCACGCCGGGGGAAGCCGCCAGTGGGGAAGCCGCCGGCGGGGCATCGGGCCGCCTACTGCTGACGTTATGCTGTGCCGAAGCAGACATGCCTAATCCCTCACGCCCCTAGATTCTTACGGAGACTCAGAGACCCAAGGGAGAATTTAGGCTGAGTACAGCGTGCTGGATTCCTGAGAGGTCTCTTTGTGGATTTAAGACTCGAATTAGTCTTGTTTCAGCTTCTGTGACTGGTATTCCTGCTAGCCAGAAAGAACGACTAGGATACTGCGATTCGGCTGCCCTAGCCTTCAACACAACTACACATTTGAAAAAGTTGGACAAAAAGCTATGTTATAAATACGCGATTTTGGTGCTCCGGGTTTCGCTATACTTGGCAGCAGAACCACTTGATGTATTTTGTGGTGCTAGAAAACTCACCCGCACCTCAGCTGAACATACCGTACATTCTGTACTTGAATATGAGGTGATTTGATCATCGATATATTTTATGTTACCTTTCATCAAAATATGCAGAAAAAATCACCATCTACCTCAGACCATGGTGCTTGCTATTGTATATTTTCTCGATATTCCTTAGCGCGCCCTGCAACATCGCGTACAGCAACAGCCGTTGTTCGCCTGTTACTGCTAATGGGGCTTCGCCGACTTCACGCGCACTGTTTCACCAAACCTCGCACTGCTGGCCCGGCCGTGTCGGCCTACGCTTCGGGACTAGCCCGAGCCTCGCTGCCAGCGTAGCACTAGCTAGCTCGCACGCACCTAGTTACCGTTTGCATGTTTCGTGTATAAATGTTCGCTCATGCTTTCGCTCACATTCTGTACTCGTTTGACACCTTAATGTCAAACATTATATATGTTGTTGTGCTTGTTTAGGCTACAATGGGTTAGCCTACGGGGGGGTACACAATTCTAGGGTTAGATACTTGTACTGATTTCACTGTTAGTCAAATCATTCCTGTTCGTTCATTTCAACATGGTATAGAGCAGGTCCTTCCTAGGACCGATTTTTTCAGGGCCCACCACTACCTACCTACCTACCTACCTACCTGCGCCCTAGGGCGCCTCGGTTTTCACGGCCCTCTAAGGCCCGGCGACCCGCGACCCGCCCCTTAAGGCCCCGTCGGCCCACGCGTTTGCCCATTACGGCCCCGCGCTCGCCCCTTTACGGCCCCGCGCTCGCCCCTAGAGGCCCCGAACGGCCCACGCGCTCGCCCCTAGCGGCCCCTTTCGGCCCCGCGATCGCTCCTAGAGGCCCCGTCGGCCCCGCGCTCACCTCCCTAGAGGCCCCGAACGGCCCTGTCGACCCCGCGCTCACCTCCCTGGAGGCCCCTTACGGCCCCGTCGGCCCCGCGCTCACCTCCCTAGAGGCCCCGAACGGCCCCGTCGGCCCCTAGAGGCCCCTTTACGGCCCCGCGCTCACCTCACTAGAGGCCCCGAACGACCCCGTCGGCCCCTAGAGACCCCTTTAAGGCCCCGCGCTCACCTCCCTAGAGGCCCCGAACGGCCCCGTCGGCCCCGCGCCCACCGCCCCTACAGGCCCCAAACGGCCCCGCGCTCGCCCCTAGAGGCCCCGAGCGGCCCGTGACCGCCACAGCCCGGGACCAAACCAAGCCGCGCGACCCGAACCGAGCCGCGCGACCCAAGCCGAGCCGCGCGACCCGACCCGAACCGCGCCGCCCCACCCGAGCCGCGCCGCCCTAACTGAACCGAGCCGCCCTACCTGCTTCATCCTCCTCCTACTGCTGCTACTTCTACTGCTCCTATGGCTAGCCCACAGGTTCTAGTTTTCGATGCTGAGGGCCGCCCAGTGAAGTTTGACACCTGGCTAGATGACCTGCACCTCTATCTACAGCTTACAGCCAAGGACGACATCTCACTGTACGACCACGCCCTAGGCCATGTCACTGCCCCTGCTGCTACTGCTGACAGCACTGCCCGCTCACAGTGGCACACTCGTGATGCCCACGCTCGCTTCGCTATTCACAACTCCCTGCCGATAGACGAACGCGAGCACTTTGGCCAGCACAAGACTGCACAGGCACTGTACACAGCTGTCGTTGCTCGCTACTCCTCACCTGCCTCTGCCGCACTAGGCCGTCTCTCCCTCCCCTACCTATTTCCTGACCTGGCCTCGTTCCACACAGTCGCTGACCTCATCACGCACCTCCGTACTAGTGAGGCCCGCTTCCGTGCCGCCATGCCCGCTGAGTTCCTTGCCACTCACCCCCCCCCACTCTGGCTCACTCTCTACCACCTAGTGACCCGCCTCCCTGACACACTGCGTGCTGTCAGGGACCACTTCCTAGCTCGCTGCCCCACTGAGCTCACCATTGCCCTCCTCGAGAAGGAACTGCTTGCAGCTGAGACTAGCATAGTCGCTGTAGGTGCCTCTCGTGGCGACCCCCGTACCCCGTTCTTTGAGGGGTGTTCTCCTTCCCCCCTTCTTCCCTCTATCGCCTCTGCTGCTGCTGTCGACCTCCTTGGTGCTGAGAAGGTCGGTACTGCGTCTGCTTCGAGCGAGCGCCGCAGCGGCAAGGGCAAAGGGGGCAAGGGTGGTGGCGGTGACGGCGGGGGAGGCGGTGGTGGGGGCGGTGGAGGCGGTGGGGGTGGTGGCGCGACTGGAGGGGCTAGTGGCAGCGGTGGGGGTGGTGGCGCGACTGGAGGGGCTAGTGGCAGCGGTGGGGGTGGTGGCGGCAGCGGCGGGGGAGGTGGCAGGGGCGGAGGCGGTGGTGGGGGTGGCGGTGGACGAGGCGGCGGCTGGGGTTGGGGTAGTCGAGGAGGTGGCGGCGACGGTGGTGGTCGTGGAGGCGCTGGCGGTGGCCAGGGCCAGCAGCACACTCCGTCGCCCCAGGAGGTCCGTGAGTGGTACTCTCTACATGGGGGGGGGGGGGGGGGGGGGGTGGCCTTAGCTGCACGTACGTCATTCGCACTGGTGACCGCACTGGTCAGCAGTGTGGACGACCGCACGCCACACAGCGCTGCTTCGCTCGTCTCAACGACGCTTGGCGTGTTCAGTTCCCTCAGGCCACTGAGCTGCCCCGCTGGATTGATCTCCTGAAGAAGGGGATTGATATCTATGCTCTAGACTTTGATGCTATTCTCACTGCTATGTATGTGATGTCTACTAGTGGAGAGGGTGCTGAGTACCTGTGTGTGCCGCCCGACCCGGGCATTAGGACTAGTGCGTCTGCCGCTCCAACTACTCGCGTGTCTGCTACCCCAGGTGCTGGTGAGGCAGCTGCTCTAGGTGCTTGTGCGTCTGCCCCCCTTGGTACTGAGTCGACTGCCGCACTGCACACCTTCACACTAGACTCAGGTGCTTCTCGCTGCTTCTTTCGTGACCGCACTGCCCTTGAGCCGCTTGCTCGGCCAGTTGCTGTCTCCCTTGCTGACCCCTCTGGGGGTCCGGTCATTGCGACCTCTTCCACTGTCCTTCCCTGTCCTGCGGTCCTATCGGGCACACTGTCAGGTCTCCACCTCCCCTCATTCTCTACGAACTTGGTGGCAGGATGTGCGCTCTAGAACGGGGGTGTTCACCAGTTCACCCCTGCCTACGAGCGCGTGAGACACTGTACGTGTGCTCGTACAGGCCGTCACTTGGCTACCTTCACTCGGCAGCCGGGGTCGGACCTGTACACACTGACTACTGAGTCCCCTCAGGTTGCTGCGTCTGCGTCTGCGTCCGCGTCAGGTCAGCTGTCGGCCCCCTGCTCGTGTCGCTCTCTGGCGCACGAGACTGTCCTCTGGCACCACCGCCTTGGCCACCCGTCTGTGCAGCGGCTTCGTGCCATGCACTCCCGGTACCTTGTCTCTGGCCTTCCCAGGGTCCTTCCTCCCCTCCCTCCCTCACCTGCTCCTACCTGTCTCCCTTGTGTTGAGGGACGGCAGCGCGCCGCTCCTCACTCCTCCTCGTTTCCCCCGACGACTGCTCCCTTGCAGACGCTCCACATGGACGTGTGGGGCCCAGCCCGCGTCCGTGGTCAGGGTCAGGAGAGGTACTTCCTGATAGTTGTTAACGACTACTCGCGCTACACCTCGGTCTTCCCCTTGCGCACCAAGGGTGAGGTCCCTGATGTCTTGATCCCTTGGATCCGCAGAGCCCGTCTCTAGCTCAGCGAGCGTTTCCACTCGGACTTTCCTGTCCTGCGCTTGCACTCTGACAGAGGTGGTGAGTTCTCCTCCAACCTCTTGGCAGCCTACTGTGCTGAGCACGGCATTGAGCAGTCGTTCACGCTTCCGGCCTCTCCACAGCAGAATGGGGTTGCGGAGCGCCGCATTGGCCTGGTCATGGAGGTCGCCCGTACCTCCTTGATCCATGCGGCTGCCCCCCACTTTCTGTGGCCGTTTGCGGTCCGCTGCGCATCAGCTCAACCTCTGGCCCCGTGTCTCCTTGCCGGAGACCTCGCCCACACTGTTGTGGACGGGGGAGGTTGGCGATGCGTTTCCGAGTCTAAGGATCTCGAGCTTTTGTCCGCGATACGTCTGCGGACAAGCTCTCCTCCCGTGCTGTTCCCTGCGTCTTCCTGGGCTTTGTCCCGGACGCGCCTGGTTAGCAGTTTTACCACGCCACATCGCGCCGAGTCTTGCCCTCTCAGGACGTCACTTTTGACGAGTCCGTCCCCTACTACCGCCTCTTCCCCTACCGCACTGCCCCGCTCCCCCCCTCGCCTCTCTTCCTCGCGCCAGGTGCTGCTGTTGTAGACCCCCTCCCCCCTCAGGGTGCCGGTCCCTCAGGTGTGTCTCAGGTAGACCTGGTTGAGCCTGTTGAGGTAGCTGTCGACTCTCGTCTTGCTGGGGGTGCTGAGCCTGGGGGTGCTGAGCCTGGGGGTGCTGAGCCTGGGGGTGCCGGGACTGGGGGTGCGGAGCCTGGGGGTGCGGAGCGTGGGGGTGCTGAGCCTGGGGGTACTGAGCTTCGGGGTGCTGAGCCGCAGAGTCCGGAGTATGGGGGTTCTAAGTCTGGAGGTGCTGAGCCTAGGAGTCCTACACCTGGAGGAGCCCTCTCCTCGGAGCAGCTGCGTGAGTGGTACTTACAGTACTGCAGCCTCAGGAGAGGTACCTTTGGAGCCAGGCGTGCTACTGGGACTGGT